AGATCAACAGAAGTAAGATTAACATTTTTTTTTAAAAGTAACTTCAATGTTAATTGGAAGTAACTTTTGCATGGTTGAGAAGTAACTCTCTTTAATAGATGGAGTGGTAGCTGGTCTAGACAAGATGTAAACCAGCTACCACTAGCTGTGTAGCCACGTCCATCATTTGACGATATTTCTCTCACAAAAATAGCTAGAAATGGCATATGATGGCCTTGTGTCCAGTGGCAAAATAATATAGGCACACATAGGGTTCGGACTACAATCTATTTAATTTCTATAACTATATTGATCAAGTCCAATTCATTTATACAAGCCGCCTCAGTCCATTTCTTTCTCCTACTCTAAACCACAGCCCATATCCTCCCCCCCTCCCCCCTCTAAAAATTTGACTACCCGGTTCTCAGCCTATTCTCTTCTTTATCGCCAGCCAATTCTTCTCAGCCTGTCCCATCTCACTTTCTTTCTCTCCTAGAAATAGTCTATTTTGCCTCCCTCAGCCATAACCCTAGTTTGATTCGCATCCCTCAGACACAAAACCAGATAGATATCAAGTCTCTCTCAATTATCAATATCAGATCAATTTACCTCCTTCAGTGATTGAGATGCTAGTTTCGTCCAATGTGGCATATGGACTGGGTGACGTGGCAACAATGTGGCATATACGCGGCATTATTGGTAGAAAAATAAAAAATCTTAGTGGGACCCATATGTCAGCAACATGATCTCTACTCCTCTATTTCCCAATTGGCTCTCGGCCAAATGAATCACAACAATGAGACGAGGAATGGAGAATGCCACCGGTCCACTACCACTCAAGGGGGAGCAAGCAGGATGGTCTCGCGGTAGCGGTGGTGGACGATGACACTAGATATAGGAGTCAAAGGCGAATTGAGAGAACCAGATTCACTAGCCGCTCTCAGCCACCGGTCTTGAGATGGCCATTCACTTGTTGGCCAGTAACAGTGGTGGTGCCCAGATCTGCCATCTCCTCCGTGGGTCCTTGCAACAAGCTCTCTCATCCCATTCCCTATTTGTCACTGCCTACTATCCCTGCAACCGTTGTGCCAGTGGCTACTTCCAATCCCCCATCAATGAAGAGAATATCACCGCTGCTGCTTCATAGAGGACAATGCGGACTTGGATCTTGATTGCCACAATGATGGAAAGGCTCTGCCCCTCTTCCTCCTTTCCTCCAAAGCCGGGAGATAGAGATATGGTGGTGGATTACCTCTCTTTCCCTAAGCATGGCGGCGTTGATTTGCTTTTTACGATGGAGTTGGAGCTCACTCGAACAGTCCCTCGATGCTTTGTGAACGCCTGAACGGGGAATGGTCCGGGCGGATAGGCTCTCCTTGATGCGGCCCAATACTACTAGAGCGGCAATTGGTGGCAAGGAGAACGACTTTGCTTCGAAAGTGGGCCTCAACCCTTGGGGGAGAGGCGAGTAGCGTAGTGGCCACTGCCAGGCATCAAGGTCCTCGTCTTCCCAATGGAAACTCGGCGCTGCACGCCTCTGTTGTGCGTCCCTCTGACTTCGCCACCTGCACTGTGAGTACATCAGCTTTCGCTGCCATTGACCATTGCCTACCAAGAGGCGTTGCTGTACACCCGCCCACCATGAGATAGTGGGGAAGAAGATCAAGGGAAGGTGTCACTAGGTGTAGGTCTCAACTCTTTATATGTTTTTTTAAGGTCATAATGCTACATAGATGCCATGTTGACCAAAACCACCATACAATCCACTAAAAGCAAGTTTAATAGTTTACACTAGTTTTGATAGTTTATTGAGTCTCTGTATACAATCCACTAGAAGTAAGTTTAATAGTTTACATTGTGTTAATGCAAAAATTTGATAAGATTCTTTAGTGAATTCAGTTAAGAAAAGATTACAATCAGCCGATGAAAAGCTTATCTAGAAGAGAACGGGTTCGAGAAGGAGTCACGAAGACCATGGCATGCATGGCAGCTTGAGTTTATCTATTTATTAGGCACGTTTCGTATTTAGGAAATGTTGTGTCATGTCCGATCAAGACTTATGTTTTTTTTCTTTTTATCTTTAGAAAGTTTGTGTCGTGTCCGATTAGGACTCTTATCGGCCTATGGGTATAAATATGTACATGCAAGGTCCCCTGTAATTTATCTCCACAAATCAATACAATTACTTTCGGCACATCGTCACCCTCTTTTCTGAGGTTTTTACTTATCACCGGCAGAACTTGGTACCTGACACGAGGCTACATCGGCTTCGATCTCCGGCGAAGGAGTAAGTCCTTAGTTCCATCAGCCCTAGCAATTGTATTGGCTACATTGGCATTGTTCAAGGCTGCATCGCTTCGTCCTCTTAAATTGCTCTTGTTTGGTTAATATATTTCCTACCTAACATCGCATTGTGTTTAGAGATGGATCGGTTTAGTTGTGACTATCTCGGTTAGATCTGATCTTTTGCCTTAGCCGATATATCTCTACAACCACAATGTTGTTTTAAATAAATTTATTATATCCATCACATTAGACAGATTTCTCGGCTTATTGAGTATTATATTATTATTATATATAATCTGGTGCTGCATCGGCTAGGTTCGATCTACTAGACTGTTGATAATCTAAATCTTGTTAAGTCGATAGGTTCATACTAATGTTTCATAAGAGTGTTAGCCGACGAGTCATATGTTGAAGTATTGCATCGGCTTATAAGGATTATATACAAGTTAATCTAGCCGATCGCAGCAAAGCTTCATTAATTACTTAATTATTTGGATTCAGTGACATTGGATTTCCAGCCGATATAGGCTTTAACCATCAGATCAACATTTATTCTATCATATCAGCTGATTGGATCATTGGATATTTATTTCATTACATTATTATCACCCAATTGCCTTTATATCATTATTTATCCAAGTATCAGAATCTAGATCGGACATATAGCCGATTGTTAAAAACCCTATCGACATTAGCTAGTATCACTACATCGGTTTAATAGCCGATCGGCTCTTTGATCATCCATTTATATATCTTGTTAGTTGTAGGATCAAGCTGACTGACACGCCCGCTAAGCAGATCTCCCAGGCATTCGTGTTGTTTTTCACGTCAATACACTAGTTTTGGTTTCGATGGTTTACTGAGTCTCTGTAGTTATTAGGACTAGACCGGACCGACGGTTCAATTGGAAAAACCAGTTCCATTGGTCCGGTCCCCTTAAAAACCGGAACCAAGGCCTCCATCGGTCTGGTCCCCTTAAAAGATCGGGCATGCAATCGGACCGGATATAACCAGTTAATGGACTGAGTCAACAGCCCAACTAGTTGCCCACAATGCAGGCTCACCAAAAATCCCAAGAAAAAGTGTGGAGATCATGGGATTGAGAGCATCACGTGCTAGCCATGCCACCACCGTCATACTTGATGAGGACGTAACTAGCTCAGATATAACCATGACTACCGTATGTATTAATCAACCAAATGTGCATATGTTCTACATTAGATTTGCTTGTTATATATTTGAACAAACGTTGCTACACAATGAGTTTTGTGTGTTTTCGTTTGCAGAGGTACTTGCTTGGACGAAGGAAAAGAGGGCGAGCATAATGAATGCATGGATGATCAAAGAAGTTGATTAGGGACCAAACCAAGACCTTCTCCAAGTATACTTCTACCACACCACGTCACTTTTGGTCCATAGAAGACAAGAGATAAAGTTCTACACGTTTTGGATTCGGATTCGGGCCTCCTGACAGCATCAACTTCAAACAGACCTAGCCGCTGATCTAGAAGGAATTTCGGGGCCCATGAGTACTTGTTGGAAAGCATATGAAGTATACTTTCAGATGGTTTTCGTCCCACGTCAAAATTCCTACCGAGCTGCCAGAAATCTGCAAAACAAGCCATGCACCTCATCTAGTCCGAATCTGATTTGGGTTTTGGGCCTTGTAATTGTGTCGTGGGCTTAGCCCAAGGGGGTGTGTGCCCTAGGGCAACCCTAGGACGTCCCTAATCATACTTAATCAATAGCCGTCATCGTTTAGAGTCGGGTTTTGCTTAGATTATTCTGTTAAGAACAGTTTCGCCGCTAGATCGGTTTGTAGAACCCCAAATTCGAGTGTTTAATCATTCATATGCAATTGTGTTGCAATCTATCTTGTTCTTGTCTGTGTTCTTCGATTCGCATGCAAGGATTAGCCTTCTCGGGGAGGTCAACCGGGTTTCGGCACGGTTGATAACAAGAGGAAACGTGGTGCTGCGATTGCGGGGCTCAGTAGCGTGTTCATTCAGAAGCCGGATCGAGTTGTGTCGCGACTCCGCCCAAATCGACTGTTTATCAATACCTATCGGAAGATCGGGACCTACATCCCTCATCAGTTAAAAATATCTCAAATCTACAACCACCAAAATACCTAATAATCTGATAATTGAGGAAGCGGCACGGAAGAATTTGCCGTGAGGTGGAGGTGGCAGTCGGCCTTGAGGTGGAGGCGGCAGTCGCGTGTGGGGAGGGGTTCGGCCAAAGGAAAATTCGGCAGAAGCACTGGCAAACCCTAGCCGCAACTCCAAACTCGACCGACAAAAACTTCTGAAAAGTATAAAAACGGAATCAAGACCAAACCAAGACCTTCTCCAAATCTACTTCTACCTCACCATGTCACTTTTGGCCCATAGAAGACAAGAGATCAAGTTGTACACGTTTTGGATTTGGATTTGGACCTCCTGACAGCATCAACTTCAAACGAACCTAGCCGCTGATCTAGAAGGAATTTCAGGGCCCATGAGTACTTGATGGAAAGCTTATGGGGTCTACTTTCAGACGGGTATTGATAAATAGTCGATTTGGGCGGAGTCGCGACACAACTCGATCCGGCTTCTGAACGAACACGCTACTGAGCCCCGCAATCGCAGCACCACGTCTCCTCTGGTTACCAACTGTGCCGAAACCCGGTTGACCTCGCCGAGAAGGCTAATCCCTGCATGCGAATCGAAAAACACAAGCAAGAACAAGATAGATTGCAACACAATTGCATATGAATGATTAAGCACTCGAATTTAGGGTTCTACAAACCGATCTAGCGGCGAAACTATTCTTGACAGAATAATCTAAGCAAAACCCGACTCTAAACAATGACGGCTACTGATTAAGTATGATTAGGGATGTCCTTGGGCTAAGCCCACGACACAATTACAAGGCCCAAAACCCAAATAAGATTCGGACTAGATGAGGTGTGTGGTTTGTTTTGCAGATTCCTGGCAGCTCAGTAGGAATTTTGACGTGGGACCAAAACGATATGAAAGTAGACTTCATAAGCTTTCCAACAAGTACTCATGGGCCCCGAAATTCCTTCTAGATCAGTGGCTAGGTCAGGAGCCCCGAAGTTTGAAGTTGATGCTGTCAGGAGGCCTAAATCCAAATCCAAAACGTGTAGAACTTTATCTCTTGTTTTCTATGGACAAAAAGTGACGTGGTGGGGTAGAAGTATACTTGGAGAAGGTCTTGGTTTGGTCCCCAATCAACCTCTTTGATCATCCATGCATTCGTGATGCTCGCCCTCTTTTCCTTCGTCCAAGCAAGTACCTCTGCAAACGAACACACACAAAACTCATTGTGTTGCCGCCACTCTGACCCTGCCCCCCGCTATTGATGGTTGTTATGTACCAGTTTCGACCACCAACTAGCACAATTAATAAAAGGAAAATTAGCATTTCTTACACGCATACCAATAATAAATAATGTAGTTATATTAGGATTGGAGAACTAATGTTGATGCAAGAATTATACACCAAAGTGAAGGAGAAATGAAATAGACATGCAATTTAATAATTAACTAGAGTTGGATTGTGATGACTACATCCATTTCAAATTACTTGTCGTTTCAGATTTGTCGAAAGTCAGTTAAATATTTTTATTCTTTATAACCTTTTTCTATAAATTCATATAGTTTAGTAACATGTGAATGATATATACCGAAGTATATTTCTCATGATGAATCTAAAAATATAAATCTCATGATTTTAAAATTTATGAATTTCTATAGATTAAATTAACTAGGAAGTAAGTCCGTGTAGATGCACCGACAATTTATTTATTGTTTATATAAAGAATATTAAAGAAGGCATATCTCACCAAATTCACATATTCACTATAAGGACAATAGATTACCTTATAATCATAAAAGAAAGTATTTATATCGTAAAAAAGAAAACCATAAACTTTGATATATTGTTCCGGTTATATGCAAATTCGTATATCATCATCCTTCGGAAACATATGATTTAATATATATTTTTTTTTGAGTTTTTTCTCTTTTGTTATGTAGCTTATTCACTTGTGTTGTGCATGTTCATGGGTAATATATGATAGAATAATCTATATCATCAAAATTATTTAGCTAGCTGCATGCTCATTGATTGAAACTTCATGGAGTGAAATAACTAATAAAAAAGGATTAGAAGGAGCAAGTAACTGAAGATTTTTTGAAAGGAATCAGCAAGAGAACTAGGGTGCTAGCTAATTTATTGAATATATAGTGGTAAGTAACTAAAGATGGATGTGAAGTCTATGACATAGTTGCATCTGCCTCTGCACCTAGGGATCAGGAAGAGACCAGGAACAACATTGTGTGCAAGAAGCTAGCGTATAGCGATCAAGCACGTATTGCTAGCTTGCTGCTTCATCTTCCTCTCTGTAGGTGCAGGTGCAAATGCAGCTCTATCACACATCACTTGCTATATATATGTAGCACACTAACACTAATATATATGCAGTGTTCACTTGGCTTCTTGGCTTACATGAACAATGCACATTCTACATCTTATATAGCCTTCTGCCTCTGCAAAGTGTCACTGATGTAATGAAAGTGTCACCTGCATAATTGTGCACCAACGCACATGGCACATCGCCACGGTTCACATGGGACTTGCACGGCAGGCCAATGGCACGGCGACACGTGCCGGTTTACACGTGGATCAGTTAGCTAGCAACAATGTTGGATATATTGCTAGCTGCTGCAGTACATGTCACATGTAGATGTAGCCAAAAGCTTCGTTCTGTCGGATTTGGCCGGCCGTTCAACGGCAGCTAAAGATTTGCGTATCAAAGCTGCTTTCTCGTCCAAGACCGGGACAGTTCTGTGAGGCGTGTGGGTGTAGATGAACAGCTCGGATTTTATTCGTTTTTACTTTGGATATGAAAGGAACTATTGTCGATGGGTTTTGGATTTGACTGTTCAACATTCTGTACGTGTGGCAGCAACACTGCTAGCTAGCTAGCAGCTTCTAAGAGAAACCATCTGTAGTGCACGTGGGAAAATATCTACTACCTCTGTCCCATATTACCTGTCGTATTGAATTTTTGTTGGTAATGTTTGATCATTCATCTTATTTAAAAAGTTTTGAAATTATTATTTATTTTGTTTGTGACTTACTTTATTATCAAAAAGTACTTTAAGTATGACTTATTATTTTTTTTATATTTGTACTAGTTTTTCAAAACGAATAGTCAAACGTGTACCCTGCTTTAATACAGCACGTAGCACAATTACCATCTGATCCAATTGGAGACCTACTTAGCCTCATAGCATTATAGTCCTGACTGGTATATCATCAGAAGTGTATGCAATTAAGCAAGAAAAAACATATATTTGCTTACATATACAACTTGTTAGCTATCCTTGTTGGAGTGTGAAGTGAATTGTCTGATTATTCTTATCAGCATAAGCTTTCGGTTTAAACTAGTCGGTGCATGCAACTCAATATGTTATTAGGGCCAGAGATCTTGATTTTGAAACCTGACTGACGTGTAATTAAATAAATAATTTGCAGCCCACTTCCGTTTTATGCTTGAGGAGGCCTCCCATGACGGGGAGTATTAGAATATGAAGTGAATAACTCTTCTTTTTTCTGACAGTTATTAAGTCCAAACAAAGGTCTACTAGTTAGCAATATTTTCTAACAACAGTTGAGGACAGCATGCAGAAAGATAGGTGCATGAAGTGAACATATAAATAAACTCTCAATAATCTCTAAGGAGAAAAATAAGTTATATGTCCATAATTATCATACATGTACTCTCTTCATTCTCAAATAATTATCACTGTATGTACTATGGCTGTCTTAAGTTTGACCACTATCTAAAAATGACTATAATTTTATGAGTAAAAGGAATATTATTAAATTTAGAGAGAATCAACCCAATTAACGATCTGCCATTAATATTGTCTCTTTCTATAATATATCGACGAGTTTATCGATTATTCTTCAAAAGCCATTGGATTGGGTCTTTTTTTCACCCAAAATATCCTTAAAGATATAGAAGGTTAATAATTGATTTATCCCATTAAAAGTTTAAAACAAATATGAAATTTTTATGTAGCCTCCTTATACAGCATTGAAGTTTTATAAGTTTGAAGTTGTTTCTTTTGGTATTTTATTTTTTTAGGGAGAGTTATATATATATAGTCGACCAAATTGCTACACGTTACAAATATTTGATGTTTAAATCATCATATACCATCTATTTTGTTTTAAAACTAATTTGGGAAACTATTGAGGTCGAACATTTACTTTTTAACTAAATTTTACTGTAAATGTCAAATATTTATGATCAGAGTAGTAATTAATTCTGTAGCTAACGATGGTTGTAAAACATTTATGGGCTTATCGCTATGCATTTGCCTAAGGTAATATTTTCTATCTGGCTTTAGGTGCCGGTTGTCAACCCCACATGGGTCTCGAATTTGGCAACCGGCACCTTTGAGAATACTAAGAATGCAAAAAAAAAAAAAGAAAGACCAGCTACGATCGCATCCACCCCGCTTCACCAAAAAAAAATCAACCACTCTTTGCCCCTAAAATCAACCACAATCATCGCAAAGTCACATAATAATCATCACAGAACAACAACATACATCAATGAACTTCACTCCCCCACCGCCGGATCCACCCTCAACCGCAGCCACCGCCGCTAGATCCACCCGTAGCTATCGTTACCACCGTTGGATCTGTCGCGAGAGGGGGCGGAGGGAGCCGCTGCCACCGGATCCACCCGCGGCTGCCGCCACCTTCGCTGGATCTACCACGGGAGGAAGGTGAGAGGGAAAGGAGGGATAGGAAGAGGGGGCGAGGGAGGTGAGAGGGGGCAGATCGAGAGAGAGGAGGGGGAGGGGCCGAGAGGAGAGCGAGAGAGAGAGAGTGTGAGAGTGAGAAAGATTTGCCGCGGGGAGAGGGGGGGCGACTGGCTCGCGAGTATGGATAAGAATGAGGGAGGTGTCGTGCTCGGCTCAGCTCGGTTTTTTGGTGTCGGTTTTTATACAAACCGACACGTATAATATTATAGGCGTCAATTAATTAAAACAATCACATATAATATATTATATGTGCTCCTATAGTATATGTGTCAGTTTTTCTCTAAAACCGCACCTATAATTAGTTAAAGGTGCCGGTTTTTTATATTTTCAATCTATGAAGGTAGGAAAATTACAATAGGTATCGATTTTACCAGTTCCAACACCTATAGTTACATGTTCCAATACCTATAATGCCGACCTGAATGTGTCTTTTTTTTACTAGTGCGTTCTATGTAATCCGCTTCCTTTCCCCTAAAAATAAGTACTATTCCGCATCCTGACGTTAAGCCCTCGCTGACCACATATGGCTGATTACACGTGGGGCAATAGTCTTTGGCTAATCTTTGGCACGGAGCAAAAGTTCCACAGATATTTTGGAACATATCTTTTGAACATCACTGCAATACGATTGCATTAAGGGATGAAAGCGGCCAGAAAACCACCTGTGTCATTTTTGTTTCCTTTTTCTTTTTGAAATTTTGCATTAAGGGATGAAAACGGCCAGAAAACCACCTGTGTCATTTTTGTTTCCTTTTTTTTTAAATTAGGCCCGGTTTAATTCCCCTGCAAAAACTTTTCACCATGTCGCATCAAATGTTTGACACATGCATGGTCTATTAAATATATAAAAAAGAAAAACTAATTACACAAATTACATGTAAATTGCAAGACAATTTTTTTGCGTTATGATTTGACAATTTGGTGCTACAGTAAACATTTGCTAATGACATATTAATTAGACTTAATAAATTCGCCTCGCAGTTTACAGGCGAAATCTATAATTTATTTTATTATTAGACTACGTTTAATACTTCAAATGTGTATCCGTATATTCGATGTGACATGTCAAAACTTTTTACCCCTAAAACTAAACAGGGCCTTGATCAAAATGAAAATTCCCGGATACGGAAACGACACTTATAAGGCACGTCGTCTAGAACCATGCGATATGATCCGCATGATTTTGTTTCCTTCATTTACATATAATTCAATCAAATACGTAAACACACATACCCAGCGCACATTAATACTACGAGCGTATATGAAAATGTGGTCTACCATTCTATTACTTTTTAGAAAGAGTAATCTTCCGTGGTACATCCATCGATCTACATCATGCCGATGAGATGTTATTTCACCACAAATCAGATAGAAGTAATAAAGTGCACAAAAGGACAACTGAGAACATTTTAGGACCCCAGCCCTCTTGCACCGAATTATTCTTGCACTAGCCTGATTGTCTAAGTTTCATACTTTGCTTTTATTGTATGACTCACGCTTATTCACAGAAATTATGTTTCACTCATTGACCTACAAAAGAACAGATACTATCAGAAGTGCTATTCAAAGTGGAGAAAAGAAACGAAGGTGGAAAAAATATTCTTACCATTATGTTTGCCATCCCTGAATTGTGCATTCTTGGATGACTTGAATGTTTCCAGGAAATCTTTACCCTTTTGTAGTTCAAGCTTCTGCCTTGCCTTGTCCCACTTGCGTTCCAGAGCTAAAATCTCGATGATCCGAGGCAATGCTCTCCCAGCAGCATCTGTGTCAAGAAATGCAAGACGGCATCTCCTTGCAATGAAGTCCACAGCAGATTCACAGTACTCGTGGCGAGCACAGTATGCTACTTCAGCCTCCAAAAATGGGTATCCATGAGCAAGTCGCTTCCCCAAGCCTTCATTCTAAACAAAATGAAGCATAATGATTACCACAAAACATTATTAAGTTGTACAGGGAAAAAAAAAAGGTTTCCGGGCAGAATAATGAAGCTTGGATTTCTGATGAACCAAATTGATAGATCGCATATTGAAAAGAAATGTCATGCTAGATTAACGTGACCAAAACCATGTGTTGCTGCCGCAGGTTACTTAAATGACAGAAGTTACTACAATAGTAGCCATGCTAGATTCAGCAGGGATAATCAAATAGCTAAACAACTCAATTGACGATGCATAGCCCATAAAGGTTAGACCAGCAGAGTTAAAAAAAAAAAAGGGCCAGCGAAAACAAAGTACAAGGCTACAAACTCCATAAGTAGCGCAAGGCACATGGTGCAAAACAGAAGAAAAACTAAAGCGTAAGAAATACTAGGCACATATTAAACATGCATAATAAATCACTTAAAGCACATCACAGTTAGTTCCCGCAAAAAAAAACACATAACAGTTAGAATTCAGCTAAACAATTAGTTCAGAAAATTCCAACATGAAAACAAAAGGTAAGTAGGTATACTTAGGCTGTGTTCGATACTAGATATTGGGAACTAGTGTACAGTGCACGCAAAACGAAGCGACTCATTAGCGCATAATTAATTTAAAAACGCACCGTTTAACAGTTTGAGAAGCGTGCGCGCGGAAAACAAGGGGGAGTTGGGAACATGGAGGAACGAACGCAGCCTTAGTCCATCCTTAAAATATTGGGAGTTCAACATAAGTGCATTTTATAGTCAATTATGCATTACCACATCTAATCCAATGGAAGGATTTTTTCTTCGACAAATCGGTAGTGGGTGCAAAGAATGACAATGTTGTTCATAGACAGAAGAGTGTATGGAGCCATGGATATTATTACTATATAGGAGAATCATGAAGACTAAACATCGTCATAAAAGAACGCATTAGAACTGGACCTTTTCCCCTTCTATTTCTCTACATCAAAAGTTTCTCTACATCACTATGCCATGTCTGATCCTCACTAGCAGCATTAGGGGACATTTACACGTGTCACAAATTGAGCTCTTATATGCTGCCAACTATTGTCATCGGAATACAAGGGAGCACTGCTGCAAACTTTCCATGTACTTTACTGTTAAAACTTACAGTTTCATAAGTAACCTACTTTGTAGTATAAGGAGCACGAACCTGGGCAATTGAAGCCACTTGTGTAGCCAAAGTTCCATATGCATGTGACAGATGCTTCGATACAGCACTGTCCATTGCACCTGGAATGATCTTCCCACCATATGTCCTTTTCATCCGTTTATAGTTCTGTGCAAGGACAGTAAACGAAGCAGGATCCCAACCATATCCACCAAGAATATGCAGATGATCAGTCACACAGCCATTGGCAGGCTTCAAATTACCTGACCTTATGGCTGCATTAACAGCATCTTCAGCCATGCTGGAGATAAGGCAAATTATTAGAATCCAATTATGAAGAATATATATTCAATACTTCATGTGCATGCATGCCCATGCATTCATGTAACTACAATCCCAGATTTACAAATATTTTCTGTAGGTAATATGAATATAATAGCAGTACATCACAAATGCAATAAGTGATGGTCTATAACTAGAAATACAATGTACTTATGTGTTCAATCACAGTTCAAATACAATGTATTACATCTCGAATTCATGACATAGTGATAGTCCAAGAGCATATAGGGTCCGTTTGGCATAGCGCTAGCTCCAGCTCCACCTCTCCTAGAGAGGTAGCCCAACCAAACAGTTTCAGCTCCACCCAAAAAAGAAGTGGAGCTGGTTGGAGTGCTCTTACTAAATGAAATAGAGTTGTGGAGCTGGGTTTAGGCAGCTCAACAACTCCACTCCAGACCCAACTCATGGAGTTAAATTTAGAAGTTGGAGCCCTACCAAACGGGCCCATAGCCAGAGTAGAAAACCTAGCTTTGCACATGTCATATCAGTTTCATTCAATCAATTAGAGATAAAACACTAGCTCCTAGAACACCATACCTTCTATAAGTTGTCCATTTTCCACCAGTGATAGTTATTAGTCCTGGGTAGTCTTCAAATACAACATGATCTCTGGAAATGCTCTCAGTATTTTTTGCCGATGGATCCATAGCCAGTGGACGTATACCACTCCAGGCAGAAAGAACATCTGAACGCCTTACCTAATATGGAGATTGAAATTATTCCAACCATTAAATATTTCCGTTATTTTTCATTCTCGATTGACAGAAACTGTTTTATTAATGGAATCATAACAAAGTGGAAAGTTGCTAGTACAATTCTGAGTGTGAAACCTATGATGGCAAGTTATCAAAAACCAATATGACTAGCCCAAAAGTATTACCACAGAAAAGAATACGAAGGAATCATAACCACACTGGAACAAATGCACAGAAAAATAACTCTACTCTAAACTTGTAGTTGCAGAACAAGGACTAAGTCTATCTAAGATTGCCACCCATGCACACATGAGCATCCCATGTACACATCAATTACAAGTCATGATGTGCTACTAAAAGTTCTCTTTCATCTCACATATGTAGCAACCAAATGGTTCTAGAAAACATGAAAAACACTATATTTCAGAAAGAAAAACTTTACTATTTTTTTTCGACAGCGTCAAATAAATTACTGTACATTACATAAATGCAAACACACAAACCTGAACGTTAAGATAATCACAGATAGCATCTAATATGAACTGTATCTCATCCTCATGTGGTTCAGGAAGCATTGTTATTGCTGTACTAGAGTCGGTTGTACCAGCTACTGTCCTTCCTAACCATGGCAGCATAAATACAACTCTACCATCCTTGGTTTTAGGGACAATTAGCCCCATCCCATCAGGGGAATAATAATCAGGAAGTACAATGTGCACTCCACTGCTTGGACTGATCATGGGCACTACGTCATTGTTAGCCATCTTCCTCACAGAGTCACAGAACGGTCCTGCTGCGTTAACAACCACCTTTGCAAATGCATCGAATTCTTTACCTGTTATAAATTAGCAAATATGAAATAGCAATGGAAGATTGAAATCATTGCTAACTAAATAATCAACCGCGACACAGATGATAATGCTAGTTTCAGGAAAAAAATTATTATGAGAACATAGTTGATCATCAATCAACTTAACATAGTATGTTTCAGCACATACTTGTGCTAGCAGGCTACTTCATGCTGTATACCAAACTATAGTCTTTCTTCTAAACCATAAGAGTTATAGTGGCACAATATTCACAGACCAACCGCTCTTATCATTTAATAGGAGAAAATGTACTTCAGCAATCGGTAGTTTATACTTTATAGTGTAAGTTATTTAGTCTGCTCCAAGCATAGGTACTCAGATTAACAGCATGCTACCAGAACTGAATGTTTTTCCTTGTTTTCACTGCCCAAAAGTTCCTTCCTCCCAGAGTTGCTGCCAGCCTACTGTTCCTTTCTTTTTATTTTTGCTAAGCTTTGTAATACTTCCCATATCCAAGACTTTTCATACTTGACAGAGATACTCAGCCCAAATTGGCATATGGCTTTGGAATGCTAGTATAGTCACTCAAGCTCAGTGACCACGCCTCCCTCTGGTAGAGATTGGACTGTCAGTTTCCCGCTAGAAAAGCTATGCCATCGATCACCACCATCAGGAAATGTCTGCATATGAGTTACGCATCTGACTGCAGCATCTACACATAATTCCACATTTCCACCACCACAAATATATTACAGTAGTCTACAGACACTAAATGAGGGGTGAAAAACACATGGCAAGCCACATGCCTGCATTCCTGCAGCTCTTTAACTGCATATCCTAAACAACATGCTTGTAATTTCTTCAGTTCAAAGGAAACTATGAATTTTTGGTGTCGGCTGTACTGTATGACAATATGTAAAGCAGGGCTATTTGCTGTTTGAAATGTATTAGCTTAAAAAAAAGGTAGAAAGAGACATTGCATAAAGGTATGCTGAAGTAAAAAATACATGATCATTAGAAAGGTATGAATTACACATTCTAATGTGCCTCCACTGTATAAAGGAAGAGAAAGACATACTTTATTCTACCTGATAGCGTATCACGGATCCGTGCACCAATAATCCTTTCTCCAGATTCATCCTTAATGAGGGATACCACTTCAGCATAATTAAGAATAGCTGCACCAACAACCGCTGCAGTGCATGCCAAGCCCACATTCAGCCGACTGTCATTCATTTGACCGTCATAGTATACCACTGTCCCTCTTAGGCTACGATCATGGCTGTTTTTTGCAAGGGTTGGGAAAAGTTCAACTGATTCATCTACAGAATAATATCGTGACAAATGTAGCAGCCTTCTTCCAGCAACGATATCATAGAATTTCAGGCCGAACCAATAGTATACAACCTCAAACCAATTAAAGCAAGGAGTCATGCATGGCAAAGCATGGCATAAGTGGGGAGCATTTTCAATAACCTGCTTTCTTTCTTTCAAAGCATGAAAAACGAGTTTCAGCTGCCCATAATCAAGATTGAATACTGCCTTCTCCAAATAGCGCACACCTGTAAAAAAGTATTCAATATAAGCGAGGAATAGTGGAATTTACATTATCAAATATTAACCACCTAAAAATGTACAAATCTATATCTTTCTGAAACTGGAGACATTCCTAGTGTATTAGTTATGTTTTTATGTGTTTAGAACAAACAAAATTTTCACCTCTCAAGTTGCAAAATGTTACCAAGTCTATATGCATAGTTCATTACATCCACCATCAGTGGCGTATCCACCATTGGGGCTTCTTGGGGCTCGAGCCCCAGCTCCATGGTTGTGGCACTTCGGTCAGGGTTGGGAATAAAAACGTTGCTGCCTACTGCCTCACTGCATCTTTGTTGTCAAGGCCTCTACGACGTATTCCAGCTTGACTGGACAAATATTAATTTATCTGTTGTAGTCTGTAAACGTGAGCCTCTTTATTGGTAAATTAGGTTTGGAAATCTTTCAGTGTATTGATGCATCATTCATATCAAATTCTATTTGTTTGCCAGATTTTAGTGGACATATCTGCACATTAAAGCGGAGAAGCAAAGTTAACATGTACTTTTCCAAATAATGAACGATGAGCTAGAGTTATTTTATTTTATATGATACCCTCTTTCTATTTATTTGTTAATTTTACGATTTGATTAGCAAAATGTGTCATGTATGTATATTTGGCTTACTTGATTCTATATGCAAGTTTTATACATATAGGACCCCCTCTATTTTCATTCTAGATTCACCACTGTCCACCATAATATATCACTTCCAGAAAATATATCTCTATTTGAAAAATCCATGACCCATCCAACAATGTAGAGTTCAGAGAGGTTCAGTAAATAGATCACATTAGTGCATGAGGAAACAACAGTAAACATATTTGCCACAATGTATTCCTGTTATTGGTATACTAGAAGAGCAATAAGCAATTAAGCATAGCCACATATAGGTCCTGTTCTGAGCCTTATCTGAATAAGTGCTAAGAAGTGTTTAATGCTTTACTAGGATAAACTTTTCCCCTATTAATCATGTACAAGCATCATGTAAGTTTATTGCAGCCAAAGAGTGAAAATATGTATGGCTTTCTACTGAACAGACAGCAACCTGTAGTTTTTTTTTCTGTTTTTTTGGAACTTTTTTCTGTTTTTTTGGAAGAGGCCGCTTAATTAGTGCTGCTACAATAATATTCAGTCGCACCTTCTCCAAAAAAAAAAAAACAAATTCTATGCTAATACTTTTAATTGAAACAAATAAGCATATGACTATATAGGTATAATGTGAGATGCCACAATAACAAACTAGAGGAATCTACTTGCAAACGAATCTGGATTGGGGGAAGCCACGCACCGCCATGGATGAGTTTGGTGGATCGGGAGGATGTCCCAGAGGAGAAGTCCTCGCGCTCCACGAGGCCGACGCGGAGCCCGCGGGTTGCGGCATCGAGCGCGACGCCGCACCCGGTGGCCCCGCCGCCGACGACGAGCACGTCGAGGGGATCCGCGGGGGTGGACCCGGCCAGCGCCGCCCTCTGCGCGGCGCGTGGCGGCGGGGCCGCGCCCGGCTGGGCCACGCGCCGCCGCGCGGCCTCGAGGGCCGCGGGGGACGGGTCGGAAGCGGACGCGGACGGCCAGGCCGCGCCCGCGGCGACGACGGCGGAGGACGCGGCGATGGCGGCGGCCGCGCGGCGGAGGCGCCACGTGGCCATGGCGGCGGGCGGACGCGTGTGCCTCCCTACCTCTCCTTTGTTCGGCGAGGGCGCTGGGAGTTGGGAGATCGCGAGTTTCACAGCTCACACGGGCGGCGGAACGCGTAGAGAAAGCGGCCTCTGATTTCTTTTCTTTTTCTTTTCTGGAGATACTAAAAAATTGTTACGGAGTATTATATAAGCGAATCGGGGAGGAATTCCGGCGGAGAAAATAGGGGAACAAGTTCCGTGATTTTTTTCTCTTTCTTTTCTGAAGATAATAAATAATGAGAGAATAGCTACTATAGTCCCTAAAGTTTCTCTGTAGGATCAATTTAGTCCCTAACCTTTTAAATGGTCCAAAGAAATCCTTAACCTTTATCATAAGGCCTAGAATAGTCCTTGGGTCCACAAAAATCGTTATATGGATATGCCATGTCATCATTCATGCAAAATCTATAATGAATTGTCCAATTTACCTTTACGTATATCATAGAAAAATAAATATAAGGGTGAATTAGACATAACCATAGGAAAAAATACTTCTTTTTTTTCACCATTTTGAGGTATATTTTTGCTCTTGCATATACTATATATTTTTTTAACTTTTTCCTTTTGTTTTTTTATTTTCCTACGCGTAAGGGTAAATTGGACAAACCATATAGATTTTGCATAGGAAGGTGACATGGCATGTCCATGTGGCGATTTTGGTGGGACCAATAACTATATTAGCCCACATAACAAATTTAAAAGACTTGTTTGGACAATACGAAAGATTAATGACTAAAATGACCCAGGAGCGAAACTTTAGGGACCATATTAGCTATTCTCCCATAAATAATTATAGGTGAATCGTTTAAACATGAGGAATTCGAGCGGAGAAAATAGGGGAGCAAGAGCATATCAGTTATTCTATTTCCTACGAAAAACTGATTTTGAGGGTTTTTATTGAGAAAATCGGATCCTAACATATCCCAAAAGCCCTGTACTATTTTAGAGTTCCCATTCCCCATATATTTTGGAAATAAGTTCATCTGAGGTCTCTTAATTTTATACTGAATCTGATTTTCGTCCTTAAGCACCTAAAACCAGATATAATCGATCCCTAAACTGTCAAAACCAATGCAAACGAGGTCCCTCGGTGGTTTTAGCTGACGTGCCAACTACGTGGCTGGTTTGACTAGCTCTTTGTCCCACGTAGCATTGACGTGGCGCTTACGTGGCAATTATATCTCGAAGAAATAATAAAAACTATGGGCCCACCAGTCAGCTATACACGAAAAATAATTTAAAAATGATGGGGCCACATGGGCCCACATGCTAGCTACAAAAAAAATAAAAAGATGGGGCCCATATGTCAATACATCCTCTCCTTCCCTGTCTCTATGTTTCTCTCCCTTCCTCTCAGCTTCGACGACGCATTTTTCTTGGCATCGGCGGCACGGGAGCAGGCACTGCGGATGGCGGTGACTGGTGGTGGCGTGGAGGAGGACGCCGCCACGCCGCTTCTACCGCCCCCGACGCCACCTCGCTCGGCGTTACCGGCTCCGACATGTCCACGAAGCCGAAGCAGTTAGAGGACCCGTCGTACGACGACTAGTATGGTGAGAGCAGGGGCTCAGGCTTCACCTCCACGACACACGCAGTCGGAGAGCCACCCGCAAGAGAACGCAACCTGCATCGCGCAGAACACCACCATGTCGTCGGTGTCGGTGTCGCGGAACGGCAGTGAATCCCTCCGTCCCCACATAGGGAATGGCACCAAAGTAGTTGACTACTCCCTCCGTCTCAAAAATTGACAACTAAACCATGCCTTATATTTGGGGAGTAGAGCAAAGTTGTTGACTACTCCCTCCGTCTCAAATATAAGCAAATATAAGCAGTGAAAGGGAGTAGTATGGCTGTGTTTAGTTCAGCGCAAAGTTTGGATTTTGGTTGAAATTGGAGATGATGTGACTGAAAAATTGTGTGTATGACAGGTTGATGTGATGGAAAAGGACTGAAGTTTGGATCCAAACTTTGGATTTAAACACGACCTATATATGAATCATGCAGTCTTGCTACGTAGGAAAATGCCTGGTTTAGTTATCAACTTTTTCTCCAAACTTTCTAATTTTTTATCACATTCAAATTTTCCTACATACACAAACTTCTAACTTTTCCATCGCATCGTCCTAATTCCAATCAAACTTTTAATTTTAGCGCGAAGTAAACACACCCAAAATCACTCAAAATGTGGAATCTTTAGCCCGGTCTTCGAGGTGGTACAGCCGTGCAATCAAATCGTTCACGGTCTCACTGTCTCCACTGTCCAGCACGCAAAGCGCAGCCCCAGGCGATGACGAGAACAGGCCAGTCCTGTCTTGTCGCCAGAGACGGTGACGCGATCACGGTCTCCGCCTCTCCGGCGACCGTGACAGGCCCAAAACCTTCACTTGCTCCCGTCCCAGTTGTATGATTCAAAATTAGAAAAAGTATACGGAAGGTCCTGAGCTTGTTATCGAGTAAAAAAAAAAACATCCTTAAACCATAAAACCATATATCCAGCGTCCCTTAACTAATCAAAACCGGTTACAATAGGTCGGGGAGAGGTGGACGCCGCCCTCACCGCGTCGTTTCCCCATCCGCCACGCTGTGCCGCTTCCCCATCCGTCACTCCGCTGCGCGGCACCGCCCATCCGCTCCTGCTTGGCCGCACGGTGTCTCCTCGCCCTCAACCTCCAAGAACAATGCCCTCTCCTTCAAGCTCGTCTCCTAAACTGCTGGCCTCTACCCGTCTCCTCAACCGCTGGCCGCTACCCGTCTCCTCCTCCCCGTGCCTCCGCCGCCGCCCAACTCCAAGGGCCCTCGCACGGTCCCACTAGCGTCGCGGCCCTCGCACGGTCGCGTCGCGAAGCTCCGCCGGGCTGCCGCCACCACCGGCCGCCGTGGCGGCGCCGTCCTCCTCCTCTCCTGCCTCACCCCGCTGACCGGCCTACAGATAGAGAGAGAGAGGAGGAACCGAGGAAGAGAAGAGGGGGGAGAGATGACTCAGCCTGACATGTGGGTCCCACGTGGTCCCACGCTGACTCAGCCGTCACGTAGGACAAAATCTGGGTCAAAACCATCGAAGGACCTATTTTGACCGGGTTTGATTAGTTAAGGGACACCGAATATCTGGTTTTGCAGTTTGGGTTTGGGGACGATTTTGTAACTCGATGACAAGTTGAGGGACCTTTGGTGTACTTTTTCCTTCAAAATTTTGTCTTAGAAAAACTGTGGTTCTACGACATACTCCCTCCGTCCAAAAAATCCTAACCTAGAACAAGATATGACCCCTCATAATATAACGAATCTGGACAATTTATCGAGATTCGTTATACTAGGAGGTGTCACATCCTCTCCTAAGTTGGATTGTTTGGATAGTGGGTAAGAGATACACATACACCGTAGGATTGAGAAGGGAAATTGCAAGGTTATCTTATCCTCCTAGCGAGGAGGGTGGGTTATGCTGGGAAATGCCAGCGATGAAGTGGTGTGGCTGCGAAGCGCGACGGCACGAAGGAAGAGATCGCGGTAGAAGAGGGATGCATGGGGTGGACAGACGAGCGTGGGGACATAATCGAGCCACTTTCTCGTGCGTGGCGGCTTCGCGTGCGTGGCAGTAGGGGTGAAAATGGTACGGAAACTTTCTGGATTCGGGCTTATTTTCGAAACGGAATATGTTGGTCGGAATTTTTTTCTGGAATTTTTCGGAAACGGAAACGGATTCGGAAATATTTTCTCGGAAACGGAATAAAAAAATGATAAGGGTAGTTTCCGTCGGAACTCGGAATCGGTCTGAAACATTCTGGAAATTTTCTCGGAATTTCCAGAAATCACAAAATACCATGTATTCTTTTTTTTAAGTACTGAATAGTTAATACCATGGTGCTTGGCTGTTATTTTTATAAAAAAAATTGTTATGCAAATAAAAAATACTTAAGAATATTTTTTTCCTGCATTGGGATTTATCAACAGCATTACTAATTTATTCCGTAGATTGTGTTTTGTGATGTACTGTTGATACTTTTTTTTACGAGGGATGTACTGTTGATACTTAACAATTGGACTTATATGATTATGTTTTATGATGAATTGTTCACCATTGAGACTTGAGAATCAGGTTATCAGTTTGAGGGTTTTTTTTATTCCGATAAATTTTCGTTACCATATTCACGCCGGTTCATTTTCGCTCCGTTTTCGGTTTTGATAATATTTGATTCCATTTTCATATCCGGCCGGGGTTTTCGATTCCGATTTTGATTCGAAAAAAAATATAAAAATAAAAATGATAAAGATGATTTCCGTCCGTTTCCGTACCGTTTATAGTTTACACCCCTACGTGGCAGCATGGGTCAGCGCGGTGGAGCGGTGGCGGCTGCATCATATCCCCGCGAGCAGGAGGCCACGACGTCCTCCGTCGTTTCCTTCGCCAGAGATGCGGCAGGGCGCATTCCCCTCGCGTCGCCGCCTAGCGCATCGGCTTGGAGAGGGCCGGCATCTCTTCCACACCTGATGCGGTGCATGCCTGGCGCATTCGGCTTGGAGAAGGCCGACATCTCTTCCACAAGGATAAGCAGCGGTCACCGAGCTTGGCCAACGCATCCACCTACGAAAGGGAATGGACGAGAAGACACTGGTGGTTGGATTGAGCGGAGGAGGATGAAAAGTTTACCTCTGTGATGTTTTGATGCTAAGGGTCTGTTTAGTTGGTGAAATAAAAAATTTTGGTGTCATATCGGATGTTTGACCGGATGTCGGAACTCGGAAGGGGTTTTCGGACACGAATGAAAAAATTAATTTCATAACTCGCCTAGAAACTGCGAGACGAATCTTTTGAGCCTAATCAATCTGTCATTAGCACATATGGGTTACTGTAGCACTTATAGCTAATCATGATCTAATTAGCTCAAAAGATTCATTTCGCGATTTACATACAAACTGTGCAATTAGTTTTTTATTTTATCTATATATAATGCTCCATATATGTGTCCAAAAGATTCGATACGATGTTTTTGGAACTAAACAGGACCTAACTAAAAGTATTAAACATAAGCTAATTATAAAACTAATTGCAGAAGCCTAGGACTAATCCTTGAAATGAATCTATTAAAATTAATTAATCTAGCTACGATTAACACATGTTTATAGTAGCATCATATGGGCAAGTCAAGAACTAATTAAGTTTAATAGATTCGTCTCATAAATTAGTCTAAGAATTACATAATTAGTTTTATTATTATTAGTCTACACTTATGATACTTTTAATTAGCATGATAGACAAATTTAGACCCGGCAGATAAAAAAAAAACGCACCATATTTTTTTCCCCATCTAGTACAAGCGTGAGGTGTGTGTGCTTTTTTTCTCTCATGGGACCCACCTAACTTAAACCCATACCGAACTGAGCCAAACATGGGATTGGAGTAGTTATATTTATGACACTATATTTTTTTGAAAATAGTCAGCATGTATTCACATTGTAAATTTCTAAACTTTAGTGTATTTAGGACGTAGTATATATAATTTAAGTGTAATAGTTAGGGCATGTTCACTTTGTTGCCAAAAAAAACTTACCAAATTTTGACATTGCCAAAATTTTGGCAACTTGCCAAAATTTTGGCAGGATTTCTTATATAGCTACCAAAATTTGGCAGCAAACTAAATGTAGCCACTTTTTTAGCAACTTTATCAAAATTTGGTAAGGTTAAAAATGACATCAAAGTGAACAGGCGCTTATTACATAGGAGTAACTCCTAAACCAATTAAATGGCCATACATGCATGTTGGGCAATGTTCAGTGGGCGTGGCGCATATATAGGAGAACTACGTTAGCACACGAATCTAGACGGAAATTAAGGGCAAGTACAAAGGTAGATGGTCTCTACGTTAATTAAAGACTATCACGTTACAATTGTTAAGACAATACAGTCTCTAACCATTAATGTACCAAAATACTTTCTTACTAGTTATCTTTCCTTTATTAGACTCAATGCAACAAAAAATTTCCTAATAAATGCTAAGAGTCGACTATACGCTGTTGTCATGCGTAGCAACCATCTTTCTCTTTTCTTCTTCCCCTCTCTTCCACGTCACCAAATATACTTGCATGATAATAAAGAAAGACCGCTAATAAAGACCGTTGTACATGCCCTAAAAGAAAAAAAAATCGACTGTAATCTAGTGATAATTATGTCGCTAGATTTATAGCAAATCCGTTTTTTCATCTCTAACCTAAACCCAGCATATCATATCCCAGATTCCCAGTACATTTCCTTATCCCAAGCTATCCAAACGCCACCGCAAAGATTTCAGACGGCAAATCATGAAACAGCTACGTAATGCAACATACAACAACCCGAATCGCATGACGGTCGACATTCATTTAAGTTCAAGGTTCCAACCACTAATCCAAGCAGTAAACAGTACGATCAACACAAAGGCGATAGCCAAATTTATATGGCAAAAAGATAAAAGCCCCGTCCAACCACAAAGGACACGACATCATCATGCGCCGTCGCAGTTGCAGGTGTAGAGCCTCCGGCCGACCTCCCTGGACGCGAACGCGTCGGCGCAGGCGTACTTGAACTGGTCCTCGGAGAGGTTGCGCTTGTCCCAGGCGCTGACTCGCACGTGGTGCGGCTTGTCCATCTGCACGCCCATCACCTCCCGCACCAGCGCCCGCAGCCCCGCGCGGCGGAGGTCGGGCCTCCCGAGCGTGTCGGCGGCGAGGGCGCGCAGGTCCACGGCGCGCGGCACCTCCAGCCCGTACCCGACCCGCAGCCTGGCGGCGTCGTCGCGGACCCCGACGCCGACGAAGGTGAACCTGGGATCGGCGAGGAAGCGGGACAGCGCGTCGGGCACGTAGTCGGCGTGGAGGATCTGGAAGACGAGGCAGCGGCGGTCGACGCAGAGTTGCAGCACGGCGACGGGGCCCGGCACGGGGGCGGCGGGGCGCCACTCCACGTCGAGGCCGACGACGAGCGGGTGGCCGCAGCTGCGGTGGATGCGGTACGTCTCGCCCAGCCAAGACTCCACCTTGCCGCCGGACTTGGTGAGCGTTGCGTCGAAGAAGTCCTCGTCGAACGACAACAGGTAGGTGCCACTGCCATCGTCGTAGTATGCTTCAATCTCGGTCGCCATCTCGCTCGGGTGCTTGCTCTCTCTGCCTCTCTCTGCGTTGGGGTTTTTAGTACTGGCGTAGAAGACGGAGAGTCGGAGATCGTGCCCTACAATGGGAGCGATTTATGTGGGGTTGGGGNAT